TCAAGTGCTTGGTCTGAGGCCGAATCTGAACTTAGGTCCTCCTGACTTCAGGGCCAGTGCTCTATCCACTGTGCCACCTAGCTGTCCCTGGATTCCAAATTTATAATGGAAATTCAGGCTTTGAGTATGTTTTAGTAATAAGTTCTCAAAATTGGACTAAAGATTTTACACATAAATTGGATTGATAATGGTAAAGAAAGTGAAATTATTTTAAAGTATCTAATAATTTTAAAGGGCAGAAGAGTTCATTTTACAGTGGGATCCTCATAAATTTTTAAAAGATTCTTCTATCAGGTACAGAATTTAGGTAATTATAGAAACAGCAAATGATGTATAAACTGAAATTCTCTGAAGTTTCAAAATAGTAGAACCAAATTTAAATGATTGTACTAAATTATATTAAGTCAAAATTATCTAGGAACCTCTAGATTTGGAACCAAAGAAGCAGAGTCCCTTTTAGAGCTGTCCTGAGAATAAGCATATTATCCAAGAAAAGATATCTAGGGATCAGACAACTACATGAGACATCTGGGACTCAACAGGGGCATTTAGAATGAGTTACTAGGATATAAGGAGACTTGATGTCAGTTAATATTGGTGGTAACTATTGTATTGCTTTGGTCTTTTGTTTCAAAATGTTTATGTTTAATTTTTTTGGTTACCTTGGTGACATGTAAATCTTTCTTCTCAGAACTAGCCCATTGTGTGCCCTCTAAGTAGTTTCTGTTCTTGACTTAATGTAATTATGCAATTAGGGGAATTGTGGGGGAAAAAAAAAACTTCATTGTATGGTTTTAACTTAGCCCTGCATGGCTGGGAAAGTGGATCATCTCCATGTGTTTAGAGATAACTAACTAAAGACCTATGTTATACTGACCAGAAACTCAGATTCAAAGATTGATGCAAGGAGTTTTCTCCAAGGACTCCTACCAGGTCCTTCTGACTACTCCCACAGCTGCCAAACTTGTGGGTAGACTCCTGGATCATCTGAAGAAAGCCCCTGCTCTTGAGTGGACAGCAGAACCCTCCAGGGACCTCAAGATTTGTCTAATATGGACCCAGAAGCAGCTTACATCCAGATGAGACATCTGTCCCAAGATTCTGGATGAGGGCTTAGTATATTGTCCTCGTTTCTTTTTCCTCTTCCCTTTCATTATGTGCCCAACCACCAAGGCCCTGATTCACACATGTATTGGCATTTTCTCCATCTGTATTCTTAGCCCCCCTCTCTTTTCTGCTTGCAAGCAAAAAATGGCTAGCAATGATACCTGGGACATACTTCCCTGATAGGTCCCCTCAAGGAACTGATCTCCTGGGATAAAAATGCTCATTCTGGCCCAACTGGGCTCTCATGGCATTTCGGCTTCCAACTGCCTCTCCTTTATTGGCCAGAAGGGTAGGGGTCCTTTCAGACCCACTCCCTTTGGCCAAAAGGGGGAAATGTCAAGATATTAGGAGCCACCCTGTTTTTCCAGAGCTAAGGCCCAGCAAGCAATCTGTGCCCTGAGCTTGGCATAACAACAACCCTTTGTGCTCACCCTCTGGATGATCTCACCCTTGGCAAAATCACATAATTATTGTACTGCTTTGACCAGCACCAGGTGTTCTCTAAGCTTGGACAAGCACCTGCTGTATCCAAGTTCTGGTCATGAAGCCCTGCTATGAATCAAACTTGTCTCATTGATGCTGTTATCCCTCATTGTCAAGGCTACAGCTCAGTCATAGTCATTGGTATAAGTATTAAGATCTCTCCACACTGCCTTGGGTCCCCTCACTAGGGGCTGGGTCCTGGCACATCTGTCTAGATCCCTTCCTTGCTTGCAAGCCATTTCCTTCATTTTGAAATTAAACTTCTGTTTGATTCCTGACTCTCCTGTCTTTAGCCTGTTCTGTTTGGCTCTGGCCAACCACAGGTTAGAAGCTGATTTGGTCCATTTGACAACAGTGAGGTTGCAAACACAGGTAACTGAGAGGATGGCAGTGCTTTCAGCAGAAATAGGAAAGTTGGGAGGGGAGAAAGGTTTGGGGAGAAAGATAATAAGTTCATTTTGGGATCTATTGAGTTTAAAATGCCTATCAGACATCCAGTTCTGCATGTCCAAGAGCTAGCTGGCAGTATGGAATTGTAGCTTAGAAGAGACCAGGGCTAGATATATAAATCAGCTGACACGATCACCAAGTGAGATAGCTACTATACTGTAGAGAAAGAAGAGAAGAGGGCACAGGACAGAGCCTAGGGGACACCCACAGATAATGGGCACGACAATCTAGGGCATAATTCCCTACGTAGTGTTAGCAACTGAGATCTCTCAGCCTAGAGTAATGTACTCTAAATGACTGTGCTCTTACAGCTGTTGGGCTGAATTTTGTTCAAGTTACCAGCAGGTAGTTGAGAGTCTACTATGAGCAAGACTCTGGGTTAGACAGAGGAGGAGTGAGGAGAACCAGGGGGTTACATTGCATTCCCAAAGTACCAGCCTGAAGAAGGACACAGGTAATGGCAATAAACAGGGTCCTCAGGGAACACAGGGAGCTCAAAGTTTGGAAGCCCCAAGGAGTCTTCTCTGGGGGGTGAAGGCGGATTCACTCAGAACCAACAGAGCTTCTCTATCTTCCTGTGTCTGTAAATGGGAGTCTGATCCTGGATATGGACTGAGCCCAGAGAGATGGGGTGGGTTAGGAAGAGGGAATGTTTGAGTCTGTACATATGTCTCCAGGAGCAGGGGTGGAGGAGATAAGATGAGAGAGAGATTAGAGAAGTACAGGAAGAGAAAGGGAGATGGACACACAGGAAAAGAGAAGGGATAGGGAAAGAACTATAGAGGAGGATAAAAGGAAAGAGAGGCAGGAAAAAAGGAGAGAGAAGTGATAATGAAGGAGATGGAAAGAAGTAGAAATAGGAGGAGAAAGAAGGAAACCGAGAGAAGGGGGCAGGAAGAGGAACTCTTCTTGCCTAGGCCTCCCAAGCCCCTCCCAGAATTCTGATAGCCAGGACTCGGCCCCATCTCTGGCTCTCCAAGGTGTGGCTCTCCCCTTTATTAGGAATGGACCTTGGCCTAGACGCCAGATGGTCAGCATGACTAGCCTAGGCAGGTGGTGTGAGGAGTTGAGGGGGTGAAAGGTGGGGAAAGAAGAGGTAGCTCCTTGAGAGAGGACAGCAGAGAGGGCGTGTGAAGTGTAAGGATGGCTCCCCAGCCCCAGATGCTCAGCTTGACCTATGTGAATAGTGTTTACAAGGTGTGGGGAAAAGTAAGAAGTGAGCTTTTTAGTCCAGCTTACTTTTAAATATGACCCATTCACCCCCCTCCTACTAATCTCTAATAAAGTAAGGAAGGAAGGGGAAAAAAAACTCACAATGCCTTAGCACTTAATAAATATTTGTTGATTTGTTGATAATTCTAGCCTCTTCCATTTTTCATTAATTCTCCCTGATCTTGCTCCTGGCTTGCTCTACTCCAGTGGCCCTAACTCTGGCAACAAAACCCATTGACCTTTCCCCATTCCCTTAGAGGCTGTAGTCATGGAGGATGGTGGCTGAGTCCCAAGGGATTTTAGTACTTAGTGGTTAATCCTGGAAGAGGTCAGTCTGAGGAAAGGGAGGAAAGATTTTTCTTTGGTTCCTCAGAATAACGTGACAAAGGGAAGTTGATTTCTGTTGTTCTGGAGGGTCTGAATCGGTCCTGGGCCCACCAACAAATACCCTTGGGCCAGTGGAATAGTGGAAAGAGAGCTAGGTTTGGAATTAGGTGAGTGGGGATCCAATCCTAACTCTAAAACGGACTAGCTGTATGATCTTGGGCAAGTCAACCCAATTTTCAGAGCTTTGGTTTCCTTATGTGCAAAATGGGGCTAATGTTCGTTCCAGCTACCTCACAGGGAGGTTGTGGGTACAACAGGATTATAAAAATTCAAGTTTTTGTTATCAGCTCAAGTCTGCGTTAAAGCGTTCTCTCTGTGGGGATCTAAGCTACATTCTCTCTCTGGAGACTGTGTCTATCCCGAGGACTTAATAAACAAAATGAGAGTGAAAGAAATGAAGTTGGTACTAAGTACTTTCTATTCTCATTTCTCTTTTCTCAGCCTTGACCTCTTTCCCTTGCTGTGTGGGGCCCCTGATTAATTCATTTACTTTGAGGTGAGAGGGACTTTTGTGCCTATGGGTGATTTACCTTTTAAAAGCCTACAGAGAACAGTGACTGATGTAAAGGAAGAAATCACTAATGGTAGAAGTTCAGGCATGGGGAGAGATAGGATAAGGGAGATAGCCTTTTCCAGTGCCTTCAGTATCATACCATTCAGGCTGCCCCTTCTTCTATCTCCCCCTTAGGCCTCCTGTCTTTGCAGCCCACAACTACCCCCACCCCACCTTCTTGACTCTTTTTGATCTGGGACCCTGGTTCAGGCAGCTACAGCCCTGGGAGAGACCCAAGAGAGGGAGGGGATCAGGGGGAGATATCCAGCTATCTACACCACACCTGACCCTAATGGCTTTACAGTATTTGTTCAGTAGGTGAAGTTCACACAATAAGAAATAGGGGAGGGTCTGGGCTTGAGATAAAAGGACTTGGTTTTTCCATAAGGTCACACTACACCAGGATCTGCCAGGTGAGGGGGTATGGGATGTCTGGTCCTAAATTAGGAGGATGAGTAATCCCTATAGATTTGTTAGAGCCATGAGTTAGGAAGGCAGACTGCAGGGGTCTGAGTCAGGCTAGCTGGGTAGGAAGCCTGGGACGAGTTAGGAAAGCAGAATGACTGGGTCTGATATAAGAACAGATAGGGTGAACCCATTTCATCTCCTTCCTTCTTGGCTCCTAGGATGTTGGCACTGGTTCTCCTTGCCCTATTCTATGTATCAGCTGAGTCCAGCAAGTGATCCATAGGCATAGGACGCCTAGGTCCTGAAAGGGCAGCTGGGATTTGAGAGGTGTACAGGAAGAACATTCAAGCTTGGGTCTGGAGAGGATGCAGATCTGTGGGAGGACTCCTAGAGATGGTGACTGAGTTTTCGTGATACTTCCACTTTCTTTATTCCCCTTATTAACTGTTTTTCTCCAGTTCAGCCACGGTCATCCTCCTACAATAGAGAGTATGGAGGAGGGGGAGGAAAATGTTTCTCCCACTCAGACCACCAGCTAGATGGCCCCATCACTGCCATCCGTATCCGAGTCAACAAAAACTACATTGCGGGGTGACGATCCTGAGTAGGGCTGGCCCTCACTACTCAGCACTTTCTTATTCTTGGATTTCTTCAGTTACTCCTCCACTCCTCCCTCATTTACCTAACTTGTTGTTTTTGAATAAAGCATCTCCTTCCAGGGACATATATTCCAATCATGAGTCCCATCCTACCAAGTCTCAGGCACATTTATGAGTCAAACTCCTTGCTTCAGGATTCTTAGTTTTGCTCATAACTGATATTTTGGGCATTTATGAGTAGATATTTATTACTGGCTTCTATGAAGTTTGTCTCCTATGAATCTCTGGAAATCTCTATTCTCACTATTCTCCCTGCTAGCTAGTTTTGTAAAGACAGGTAGGCAGTTTTCTTTTCCCCCCTTCCCTTTCATTTTTAAGCCCTTTTGATTATATTTCCAAGCCTCCAGTTAAAAACACTCTTCCCAGCCCTTGCCCTTGTTCTCTATCCCTGACCAAAATTATCATGTTTCATACATTTTAAGCTATGGTCCAGAAATACAAAGCCTATTGCCTGACATCTTCTTAACCAGTCAGCCAATCTAACTAAACATTTATTAAGCTCCTGCTATGTGCCAGGCACTGTGCTAAGCTCCCCAAATGGCCTTTCCCTTCCGAAACTTCTGCCTTTGAATGGCAGCAGTGAGAGCCTTCAATTTCTTTTCCCAAACTTCATTCTCTCTGGCAATGTTTTTAACATCACTCCTGGGTGTATCCTCTGTGCCCACGCGCATCATGAGAAGTAGATAGTAGTCACTGGGTTTGCAAAGTCTTTGGAGGTTCTCTGTAGCCTCCTGGATACATACCCTGGTTGTGGTTCTCCTTATTGTTAGTGTCAGGTTGACAAAGAACTGCCTCAAAAATTCATAGCAGGGAGTCAGCAACCACCATTATTCATCTCTTCTTCCTCTCACCCTGACCTGATGATCTTTCTTCCGATAATATCGGTGGACCCGTCATCCCTCCTTGGAGGACATGCAGCTGCTTCCTCCTCAGACAGTACAGTACCCTCCTCTTCAGGAGGCCCCTCTTATCAATGACTTTGCTCCCAACTGTTCAAGGTCCTTCTTCCCTTTCTCTTGTTTCACCTTCTTCTGTTCTCCTGCTTTCAGAAACAGGTCAACATTCCTTTCCGCCTTTTCAGACCCTTTTTCTTCTTCATTTTCACATTGATTCCTTTCTTTCATTCTACAAGGAACATTTCATTCTCTGTGATCACCTGGAGGGAGGAGAGGTATTTCCCAGGCCCCTTCATCTTTTCTTGGATGAAGTTTAGATAGGTTTATATATAGGGTTATCGGAGAAGGAAGTGGCAAACCACTCCAGCATCTTTGCCAGCAAAACCCCAAACGGACTCACAAACAGCCAGACCCGACTGAAATGACAGAACAAACAAAATATAGGTTTAAAGAGGCAGCTAGCTGATGTAGCGGAGGGAGTGCTGGATCTAGAGTTAGGAGAATCTGATTTCAAATTCTGCCTAAGAGACTTACTAGCTGTGTGGTTCTGGGCAAGTTATATAACATCTCTTATCTGTAAAATGGGCATAATAATAGCACCTTCACCTATGTTGTGAAGATCAAGTGAGACAACATATTTGAAGGCCTAAGGCCTTGACAAACCTTAAAGTGTTATATAAATGCTGACTATTATCAAATCATAGGATTGTTAGAGTTTGCAGGGACCTTAGCAGCTACTTGACATTTGACCATTTTACAGATAAGAAAACTGAGAACCAGAGAAAGGCCTCCTTCAGTTGGGTGGAGGGGGAGGCTTAGAGATTATCAATTCCAATCTCCTTGACTGACAGATGGGAAAACTAAAGCTCAGAGAGGTGACCTGCCCCAAGGTCACACAGCTAGTGTGGAACCCAGGTCTCCTTATTCAACCCAATGCTCTATCATCTTCGTGAGTTAAGCAAGGACATCTATCATTAACCCCATGTGATAGATGAAAGAAGTAAGATCAAGAAAGATTATGCCTAATATATATACCCAATATATATTGTGATATACCCAAAGTCACACAGCACGTATGACCAGCCCTAATGATAATCAGAGCCAAGCTCTCCTCACGTCCAGGTTCAACATTATGTCCCTGTTCTTTTCAAAGATCCCTTTTTCTTAGTCTTTACCACAGCTAAGAAGATAGTTGGAGTCTTCTACCCTATTAATAATCATTTTAACTTATATATGTATATCACGTCACAATTTTCAAAGCTCTCTCCCAAAACATTATCTTATTTTTGTTACTGACAAAAAACCCTGGAGATAGACAAAGCAAATGTTATAAGCCCCTATTTGACAAATGAAGAAAGATGAAAGGATGAAGTGACTTGCCCACAGGGACACTGCTAGCAAGTGGAAGCAGCCAGGAGGTCCCAGATAGTTTGACTCCTTTGGTCTCCTTCCTTTCCTCAGTACCTTCCATCCTTTCTCTCCTCATTCCTCCTGGTCTCAGAAGACATATCCCTACTATTCACTAAAGCTAATTCCTCTAGATAGTCAACAAACCAAGTCAATAAGCATTTCTTAAACACTTGCTGAGTGCCACTTCGCACACACATTTCATCCCATTCCTTCCTGCCTCCTCCAGGAAATTGCTCCAGCAATTGTGCCCTTGTTCTCATGCGTCTCCCATGGCTCCCTTATCATCAACCACTTTCCATTTGCTTCCAAATATTCTTTAGTCTCCCTTATTCTTTTTTTTCATATCCTTTCTAGTATATCCTACTGCTATCTCATCTCTCTCCTTTACCAGTAAACATCTTGAAAAATCTCTATCTGCCGGATGCCTCCATTTCCTAACCATTCACTGTCCCCTGGGACCTTGTCCTTCTGGCTTCTGTTCCCATGCTCCATTACTGTACTGCAATCATTCTTTCTGATCCTCAATGATCTCCCAAATCCCATGACCTCTTCTTCAGTCTCCATCTTCTCTTGACCTTTCTGTAGCTTTTGACACTGTTGACCATCCTCTCCTCCCAGATACTTTGTCCCCATCAGCCTCACAGACGCCCTACTCTCCTAGTTTTTCCTCCTACTTCTCTAGATGCTCCTTTTCTCACTTCTCATTCTCTTTTCCACCCCTTCATTTTCTTCAAGGATCTGTTCTTGGCTCTTTCCTCAAGCGCCACCTCTGTGTAAATGACTCCAGAATCCATTATCCCTATTCCTATCCTTTCTTCTGGAATCTACACCTCTATTTTCATCTGCATGTCTCACAGAACATGTCCAAAATCTGTCTTATCTCCCCCCACCCCAAGCTTTTTCTTCCTTCTGACTTCACTGTTTTAATGGTACTACAATTCACCCAATCTCCCACTTTCAAATCCCTGGGGTCTTCTTTGATGTTTCCCTCTCCCTCAGCTCTCATAGCTAATCAGCTATTGACTCTGGAGCATCGTCTCCGTGTGCTTCCTTCTTCTCTGTTCTCACTTCTGCTACACTAGTACAGCTCCTTGGGACCACATTTCTAAACTCCTGTCATAGCCTCCTTAGAGGCCTTCCCTCCTTCACCATCTACCTGCTTCAGTTCATGCTTCATGTTAGGATAATGTGTCCTCTTAGCTCTGGTCCACTCTCAAACATCTTCATTTTGTTACTCTTGTCTACTTAAGTAAATTTCTTTGCCTGGCACTCAAGGTCTTCCACAGTCTTACTTTTCCAAACATAACTCATACAAAAATACATCTCATACATTACTCTACATTGTGTATTCCACACCCCAGCCAAATTAAGTCTTCTCTGACCCTCAAATATGCTCAGCATTTTCCTGCCTCTGTATTTTTTTCTTAGGCTGTGACTAGAATGCCTTCATCAGCTGTTGAATTCTGGCCCTCCTTTAAATCCCCAATCAATTATCTCCCTGGTCATAGAATAGTCATAAAAAAATAACAAACTCTAAAACTAGGGCAGCTAGGTGGCAGTGTGGATAGAGCTCCTGAATTCAGGAAGACATGAGCTCAAATCTAGACTCAAACATTTACTAGCTGTGTGACTCTGAGCATGACATTTAATCTCTCTGCCTCAGTTTCCTTATCTATGAGATGGGGATAATAATAGCACCTATCTCCCAGGATTGTTGCAAGGATAAGATAATATTTATAAAGCACTTTGCAAACCTTAAGGTGCTATTTAAATGTTTGCTATTATTATTATGATTATTATTATTAAGGGTATAATGTTCTATTTAAATATATAACTCCCCTCTGCCTAGCACAGTGCTTTACATAGATAGATGCTTGATAAATGTCTGCCATGTTTATAATACATAATGTTCAGTCTCCCAGGCCAGCACTGCCTACTATATTATTCTGCCTTTCTTGCCAGTGAGATGCTAAATACCTGTCTCCCTTCTTTCTTCCTTCTTCCTTTCTCCCCCAACCCTAGACTCCAGGTCTGATATGGCAAGGAGTGGAGCGACTATGTTAGGGATACCCAAGGTGATCTGGAGGAGATTTTCTTGCACCCCGGGGAGTCAATCATCCATGTGTCCGGCAAATATAAGTCCTATCTTTGGAAGCTGATGTTTGTGACAGACAATGGCCGCTACCTGACTTATGGGAAGGACACAGGCACCAGCTTTAATGCCGCCCCACTGTACCCCAACACCATTGTTCGATTCTTCAGTGGCCACGCTGGCTCTCTCATCGATGCTATCAGTCTACATTGGGATGTTTACCCCACCTGCTAACTATCCAGACACAGCAGGCCCAGGGCTGCCTCTCCTTGGGAAAGTCCTTATTCTCTCAAAGCCTATCCCCTACCTACTAAAGAGTTCAAATAAAAGGATGTTGCTGAAGCCAGTATGTGGAAGTATATTTCTGTTGTGTGCCTCTAACGCAGAACAAGTGTGCCTATATTTGTATATGTGAATCTCAAAGTTCAGTAATTCTGTTTGGCATCAGGCAAAAAGATGCTTGGGAGTATCTCCAACAGTCTTAACCTCTCTGAGCCTGTTTCTTCATCTATAAAATGAAGATAACAATATCTATCTTAATTTCAGATGAGATAATAGAGGATATTTTCTCAAGAGCAGTTATAAGGGCCTAGTAAGGGCCACCTTTTCCCCAAGAACACAATGATGGAAGTGTTTAGCAAACCTGTAATTTTAGAGCTGTTATGGAGGAGACGTCTTGCTATGGTTCCTCTCCAAGAATTCTGCTCTCCCACTCTCCTCTTTACTACTCTCCTTGTCATCCTAAGACAGGTTTTCTTCTTCTTGCTCCACCTGGAGATGGACAGAGTCAGATAAGAGAGATTCAAACTCCACTTCAATATTTACTATCCGTGAGACCATAAGCAAGTCACCTAAACCTAAGTCTCATTTTCCTCCTCTAAAGAATGAAAATAGGGGCAGCTAGGTGGATTCAGGAGGACCTGAGTTCAAATCCGGCCTCAGACACATAACACTCACTAGATGTGTGACCATGGGCAAGTCACTTAACCCCATTGCCTGGCCAAAAAATAAAAAAAAAAGAATGAAAATAACACTTCTCATTGTACTAACTCAGAAGGTTGTGGTAAAGGCTTGAATGAGTTAGAGTATGTAAAGGCCTTTGTAAACGTTATAGTGCTATATAAATTATCAACTATTATTAGGATTTTTCAGTCCACACTTGCTGACACCTACAACAGACCCTGTTTTCCTTCAAGAGTCCATGTGGCTTCCTTGATAGGCCCCTAACCTTATCCTCTCTTCTTTGTTCTCAATCCTTGGTGTTCTGAACCCTGAATCTTGACAGCAATGTGACTTAGTAGAAAGAGCTTTGAACTGAGAATCAGGAAACCAAGCTTCTAGTACCAGCTCTGATATTAAATCCGTAATCTTGGACAAGACACTTCCCTACCTCAGGCTTCAGTTTCCTTATACGTAAAATAGAGAGATGAGACTAGGTTATCTCAGAGATTCTTTACAGCTCTAATATTTTATGTGTCTATGATTATCCTTCCCAAAACTGGGGCTCTGGCCCTAAGATCACTCCCATTCCAGAACTCAGTCATCTTGACACCCGAAAAGAAGGATGACTGATGATAAATGACTTAGGATGATTTTGTAACCCATGCTCAGGGACCTTCAACTTCCAGGCTCACCAAGAGCAGGTCTAATCTTGGAGTCTGGCCCCTCAAAGCATTTTTCTCTTTTGGTTCATACGTGCCTATCCAGATTTTCTCTGAGTTACCATATGTAGCTTAAATATAACATATGTCTAGGTTTCCACAGATACAGAGAACAAAATCCCTAGGTATTATACAAACATTCAAGGTAATAAATGCATGTCTGGTACAGGACAGTATTTATTTTGTGCCACAGAAAATATAAGTCTCACAGGAGCCCCTAAGTAGATCTAGAAAATGCAATAACTATTCACAGTAACCTATAAGCTCCTCCAAAGGAAAATGTACTTACGACCATCAGGCAGTCCAAAGAATCCCAGACTGCTAAGCAGTCCCTTCCATACATATGGTACCACCCTATGATTTGGACTCTTTCTGGAAGGCAAACAGAAACAGTGTTTCTGGGTAGACAATCCCCTTCTTACCAAGCCTAACCTAGCCCTGAAACTTGCTATTAAAATGGAGAATAAAATATAGGTCTTCTAGCTCTCTGTATATAGGGCCAAGAGGGTATTCCTATTCTTTCTCCAATAGGATCCCTTTCTGGAAAATCTCCTTTTTTCTTTCTAGAAGGTCTAATTTTCAATACTTCAATCTTGGAATATTTTGGAGGCAACTTCCAAGACTGGTGATACTCAATAAATATCCCTTGTCAACTAGAAAGCTAGATTAAAAAGTATCATATTACCTGAACAGTTAGGGTTCAGGAACATTGCTCCTGCATTTCCCTCTTGGAACATATAGGCAAGCTTATGATTATTTCTTTTCTTTTCTCTTTTTTTTTTTTAGCCTAGGCAATAGGGTTAAGTGATTTGCCCAGGATCACACAGCTAGTATGCGTCAAGTGTCTGAGGCCGGATTTGAAGTCAGGTCCTCCTGACTTCAGGGCCGGTGCTCTATCCACTGCGCCACCTCGCTGCCCCTGCTTATGATTATTTCTGCAAGAAGTCTTAATACTCTACTGTGGCCCCAGAAGCTTCCGTGTCTTGGCCTGGGAAAATCCACTATCAGAAACTCTTCCCTCTGATCAAATGAGCAAGAAAGCTGCAGGGTGAGCACTTTTAACTTTTATGTCCCCTGTGCTTTTGCACTATGTTTCTCATCTCTGTGAGACTCTGCAGTCCAGGAATCTTTTACAGAGGGAGAGAAACAGAACAGAACTTGTGAAACATACTATCGGAAACATACTATCTGACAGAGGTCAGAGTAGGCCCTGCACTATGTTCTGGAGGAGAAAGACATAGGATTGGATGAGGAAGAAGGGAAAGCACGATATGTATCCTGTGGGGTTTACTTCCTATCTTCCTTCCAATGACCTTGCCATTGCAGGCTTCCATGAGTGAGAGGGGAGAGGGCAAAGGCATGCAGACCACAACTAGCACTAGGCAGCAGGCACAGTTCCAAGAAACTTCAGTGACTGCAGGCCAGCGTGTCTGAAAAAGCTCCTGATCAGAAGCAGAGACAAGAGCTGAGAGCCATGAGAAGAGAAAAGGTCCAGAGGAGCAGAAACTATCAGCCCTATTGGTCTGGTAACGTAGGAAACTGATTTCACTCACTGCCTTCACTTATTTCCCCTGTCTCTAACCTCTGATCCCTGAGACAGGAATCAGACTCACCTTTCCCTTACTCCTTTCCCTTGAACCACAGGCTAGTGTAGTTAGGATTTCTCTGAGCCACATCCAAAGATCTGGAAAGACAACTGGGAGACATTTTGGGAACTGTCAGGAAAAGGACGCTACCATTCAAGAGTATATTATCCAGCTCTTTTTCAGTTTACTCTATTATGAATAATAAGCTATAAGATCACACCATGTTGTCTCTAATCTATGGATGCAGTATGCAATAAATTGAAAGGTGGGAACCCAGATGGCTTAGTGATAGCACACTGGGCCTGAAGTCAGGATAGATCTGAGTTCAAATCCAGCCTCAGATACTTAGTAGTTGCATGACCCTGAGCAAGTCACTTAACTCAGTTTCCTCAGCTGTAAAATAAACTGAAGAAGGAAATGGTAAACTACTTCAGTATCTTTGCCAAGGAAAACCCCAAATGGGGTCATGACTAAACAATTAAAAACCCAGATGGGGATTAGGAGCTAGATATAGATGACAGATTTCATTTTTTAATATTTGAAGCAACTTTACATTTCATGCCTTAAATTAATATTGGACCAGCCAATGAGGAGTAAAATCAAACTGCTGAACAAAATCAGAGCCCTGCTATAGCATGAACTTTCTTGGGATGGGGAGGGGATTGGGGTGGCAAGGATTGAGCATCCCAGGCGTTTGAAGGCTGCAGTCCACCTAGTGGCCAGTAAGGCTATTGCAGACTGTTAGGCTGGCTATCCTACCTAAGGCACTGACAAGGCTGGGTTGGTGACTCAAGTCCAATGCCACCTGTAGATAATCTAACTATTACACTCTTGCTAGATAATTAGCACAGTGAGACTTTCTGCAGCCTTATGGCTACATCAAACCACAGCATCAAACCACACAACCCAGGGAGTCTTATGGACTGTTGTGAGGATCAGATGGAATAGCATATGTAAAGTGCTTTGTTAACCTTAAAGCCATATGTAAAAACAGGTATTTTTACGTTGGGCAGTTTCGCCAGTCTTGCCCCCGTTCCCCAACTTCCAGTGTGGTGTAGTATGGAAAAAAATGCTAGGCTAACGTGCCAACTCTACTGCATCTTACCTCCTGAGTGATCTTCAGCAACCTACTTAACTTCTCTAGGTCTCAGTTTCCATATCTGTAAAATGAGGAGGTTGGACTATCAGTGGTTCTCAGTGTGGTCAGGAGGCCTCTGGTGGCCCCCTAAAACTCTTTCAGGGGGTCCTTGAGGTCAAAATTATGTTCATAACAATAGCAAGATATTTTAATTTCTAATATGGTAAATATCAATAGAAATAACCATATAAACAAAAGCTCTTTGGGGTGCTCAATAATTTTTAATTTTATATTTTATTTTTCCCCAATTACATGTAAAAACAACTTTAACATTCTTTTTTTAAAAAATTTTTAGTTCCAAACTTTCTCCTTCTGTCCCATTGAGAAGGCAAGCAATTTGATATAGGTCGTACATGCGCAGTCATGTAAAAAATATTTCCATATTAGTCATGTTGTGAAAGAAAACAGACAAAAACCAAGAAAAAATAAAGAAAATATGCTTCAATATGTATTCAGACTCCATCAGGTTTTTTTCTAGAGATGGATAGCATTTTTCATCATAAGTCCTTTAGAAATGTCTTCAATCATTGTATTGCCAAGAATAACTAAGTCATTCATAGTTGATCACATAATATTGCTGTTACTGTATACAATACTCTCCTGATTCTGCTTATTTCACTTCGCATCAGTTCATGTAAGTCTTTCCAGGTTTTTCTGAGAGCATCCTGCTTGGCATTTCTGATAGCACAATAGGATTCCATTACAATCATATACCACAACTTGTTCAGCCAATCTCCAATTGATGAGTATCCCCTCAATTTGCAATTCCTTACTAGGTCCTCAATATTTTTTAAGAGTGTAAAGGGATCTTGAGATAAAAAAGTTTTAGAATCATTGGACTGGATGATCTTTAAGAACTTTTCTGGCTTTAAACCTTCTGAATCCTGACTACCATTTAGTCAGTTAAGCTGTATGACCAGGGGCAAGGCACTCTTTCAGTCTCAGTTTCCTCCTCTGTGAAATGATATAAATCATATTTCTACAACCTACCTCACAGAGTTTTGAGAAAATCATTTTGTAAGTTTCAAAACTGCCATATGAATTAAGTTTGTTAAGTTTCTAATAATGAAGCAGGGTATAATGTTTAAAAAAAACCAAACCACTGACCTGGGATTCAAAAGAATTGAGGTCCGATTGTAGCTCTGTCCCTAGTTCTCTTTGTGACCTTGGCACTTACCCGAGAGGAAACCTTCAGTTTCATGCTTGGTTCAAAAAGACATCTCAGTGAATGTGCCACAATAGGGAAAAGGAACTTCCTGCTAGCCAAGACAATGCTTCGGCTGGTGACTCTAAACCCTATGGAGTGGTGGCTCTTGACAAATCTGAGCTTAGAAACATCAATTCACTTCCCTAGGAGCAGCAATGATGGCAGCCAGCAAGGTGCTTCCACCCATTACTAATTACTAATGTCCTCAGCTCCCTTGATGTGGAGATGCAGTCATGCTTTCCTTAAGTTATGACTTCTGATGTGCCCTGTCCCAGGCACTGGTTTAGAATAGGGTTGTCTCTTCACTTGTGTCCTATCATGAATGTCCTGGGTAGCTCACCTATTCACTGATGCACAATGACCTAAAACCACAACTTTACCAAGAATTAGACGGAAATAGAAGGGGCATTGGCTAGAGCATTGGGACTGGAGTCAGAAAGACCTAAGCTCAAATCCAGCCTTAGTCATTGAGGAGCGAGTCATTTAACCTCTGCCTGCCTCAGTTTCCTCATCTGTAAAATGGGAGTGATAACAATAGCACTTACCTCTCAGTATTGGTGTGAAGATAAAAGGAGATATTTGTAAAGGTTTTGCAAACCTTAAAATGCTATATAAATCCTAGATATCATTGTTGTTGTTATTATTGTTATCGTTATTTACTAAGTGCCTAATATGTGCCAGGTACTGTACTAAGTGTTGGGGATATAAAGAAAAGCCAAAGCACAGTCCCTGCTCTCAAGGAGCTACCAGCCTAATGGGGAGACAACTAGGTACAAACAAGATATAGACAGGATAAATTGGAGATAAACAGAGGGAAGGCACTAGCATTAAGGAAGATGGGGGGAAAAGGCTTCTTGAAGAAGCCAGGAGGTGGAGACGATTTGGAGAGAATCCCAGACATGGGGGACAGACAGCCAATAAAAACGCATGGAGTCAGGAAGTGGGGTGTCTTGTGAGAGGAACAGAAAAGGAGCCAGCGTCACTTGATCATTGAGTGTGGAGGGGAAGGGAGGAAAAAGTAAGGTATACTTATACCGAAAAGGCAGGGGGAAGGCAGATTATGAAGGGCTTTGAAATGCCAGAGCGTTTTATATTTGATTCTGGAGGTGATGGGGAGCCACTGGGGTTGATTGAAAAGGGGGTGGGGGAGGTGACAGTCAGACTTGCACTTTAGGAAGATCTGACAGCTGCGTGGAAGATGGACCGAAGTAAGGAGAGACTTGAGACAGGGAGAACAACCCGCAAAAGTGCAGGTGTGAGATGCTAAGGATCTGCTCCAGGGTGGTAGCAAGGGTCGAAAGACAGGAGGGCCTGTCCAAGAGAGATGTTAAGTTACAAAGGTAGAAACCACAGGACTTGGCAAGTGATTGGCTATGGGGGAGAGGGGGAGAATCAAGGCAGACCCCCAGGTTTTGAGCCTGGAGGACTGGGGTGATGGATCTTAGCGCATTCAACATTAATGGGGACGTTTGGGAGAGGGGGAGGGGAAGGAACGGGAGGAAAAGTCCTGCTCTGGATTTGCTGAAATTGAGACGTCCACTGGACATCCAGTTTGAGAGGTCTACAAGGCAGCTGGAGCGTACACGGAGACGACGGCAGAGCGCAAGAGAGGTGCAGAAAGTACAGACAGAGCGAGCAGAGAAGGGCCTGGGGCCGTAGCTGGCTCAGCCGCCGAAAGAGCAAGCGTCAGGAACCGACTGCAGGGACGGCCGCGGCCGCCCGGCCTCCACGAGGAGCGCAGGGACACATCTCTACGCCAACTCCGAGACCAAAGCCAAGCCGAAAAGGGCGACGACCCCGCCCCTTCCGGCGCCTCAACCAGTCTGACGCTCGCCATTAGTCGAAAGGACCGGAAGAGGCGGGGCCGCCGGGGAATTCGAACGCCGGGAGGGCCCAGCTCTGTGGCAGCGGAGTTGGGTTGGGGGGGGCGGGAGGCGACGGCGGAGCGGAAGCCTGAGAGATGGCGGTGGCGGCTGCTGCTGCCACAGGTAGGGGCTCGGGGCAGCCGCGGTCCGAGGATGGCCTCGCTGCCTCAGCAGAGGTTCGCCTCTTCAGGTTATCCCTTTCAGGTTTCCCGGGCGGGCGGGATGGGGGATGGGCAGAGGGGAGGTGGCGTCGGTCCTGAGTTGCCGGCGCAGGCGCAGAAGGAGGCGGCGCCGTTCGCGCTCCTTCCGGCGCCCCGGAAGGTAAAGACCTTCTCTCTTTTCCCCAAGGTGAGGAGGAAGAAGGGTCAAGGTTGGAAGATGTTGGGATAGGGGAGAAGAGAGGGCAGGAGGAAGAAGTGGGGAATGGGTCTTCCCTCGACGGGCCTCAGACTTGGAGGGACCCCTATTTCTCCCCAAAGGAAAGCGGGGTTTAGGAGTTGGGAATCACGGATTAGAGCAGAGCTAGAAATGAAACTGAGGTGAAGAAAGGGTCTTGGAATTGGAGACTAATGAAAGATCTGATGTGGGGGAGATGGGGATGGGGTGGGGCAGAGAACGACAGGACGCCGAGGACTCAGTGACACACCAAGAACTTGTCAGTCAGGAAACGTTATTAAGGGCCTACTGTATGTCAAGCACTGGGTTAAGTACCAGGGATACAAAGAAAGGCAAATGTCAGCCCCTGCTCTCAATGAACTCACCGTCTAATAGGGGAGACAGCATGAAAACAACTATATACAAACAAGGTATATGCAGGACAAATTGAAGATAATCAGTACAGGGAAGACTTACAACAATCATTGAATGAAAACTAGTGATGGTCAGGTAATTTATATTGTCTCTATGCACAAAGCAAAATAGCCCATTTGTCGGGGTTTTAAGTTGTCATGGATGTAACACTTTAGAGGATTACTCTTAGGATCACAGGGTGATAGAATAACTTGGAAGGGGCCTTAGAAGCCATCTAAAACAACCCCCTTCATTTTAGAGATGAACTGAGGCACAGAGAGGTTTAAGTGACTTGCCAAATATAGATAGTGACAGCTGGGATTCTTTGTTCCTCTGCTCCTGGTAGGGCACTGTCTCCTGGGCTTGACTCCTTACCTTAGACATGCAGATGTTTTAAGTTAGGGACCAGTGCTTTCCTTAAGCCTTCCATTTCTCCTGATCACTCTCTGATTTCTTCTACTGATCACCTGTAACATTTGTGTGCCACATCATACAACTTAGCATTTAATTATATTCTGTCAGGTGCTATTTATTCTTTTGTCAGTAGACAAGCATTTATTAAGTGCTTACTATATATCAGGCTTATATATGCTTATTGACTCTAAAAACTAGACTTATACCTTGAGAGAGGCCTGTAGTATAATGAAAGGGACACTGAACTAGACAGACATCAGGAGGCTGAGCTTATAGTCCAGGCTTTTAATCTCTAAGGTTTCTTATATTTCTTCAAAACAAAACAAAAAATACCTGATATTGACAACGTCCGAAAGAAAATGTGTCTTATTCTGCATCTTGGGTCCTTCAACTCTGTCAAAAGGTGGGTAGCATGTTTCATCATGAGTTTTCTGGAATCATGATTAGTCATTATGGTGATTACATTTCTTAAGTCTTTCAAAGGTGTTTGTCTTCCCTGTATAAATTTATTTGCTCACTTCACTCAGCATCATTTCATAAAGAGCTCTCCAGATATCTCTGAAACCATCCCTTTCATCATTTCTTAAAGCACAATGGATTTCCATCACGTTTTTATACCATCACTTTACCATTCATTCCCCAGTTGATGGGCACTCCCTCAGTTTCTGTTTCTTTACCACCACAAAGAAAGGCTACATAGTTTGTACATCCCTACTAAGAGTTGTTTTTTTGTTTTTGTTTTTTTTGGCTAGGTACTGGGGTTAAGTGACTTGGCCAGGGTCACACAGCTAGTTAAGTTTTTTGTATCTGAGTTTGGATTTGAACTCAGGTCCTCCTGAATCCAGTGCTGGTGCTCTTTCCACTGTGCCCCAAGCTGCCCCAAGAGTTTGTTTTGCTTAGGACTAATCCCTCCCTTAATCTACCCTTCTCCCTCCTATTTCTTTGTTGAGTGAAATGTACCTCTGCACCCAACCTCAGTGTGTGTGTATTAATGCTTCCCTTCTTTGATCAGTTTAGATGAAAGTGAGGTTCAGGTGTCAGCTGCTTCCTTCAACTCTTTCCTCCTTGTTTGTGTAGACTTCTATTTGTGCATCCTGATTATATGAAATAATTTTCCCTGAACTTCCTTTCCCTTTCATCCCCTCTTCTCTTTTCATTTTTCTTTTAAGATCATCAAGACATAACAGAACCAATCCCAGGACCTCTTTGTGTGACCCTCGATGATAGGATTCAGAGGAAAGTCTTTGGGATTGTAATTTTTACTTTCTTAGATTTGAGAAAAAGGGAGTTGGGAATATTAGTTGTTTGGATTCTGGAAAGGGAAGAAAATAAAGATAGCAAGGTAAATAAGTTCTAGGCAAGGAGGAACAACAGTTTTCAATAAATACTTGGGGTCAGTTAACAGTTACATTAATAAATACTTCTTGATGGATTAGCTTTTTCCAGCTCTTTGTTTTCCTGTTTTGTCCACAATGGGGCAGTTTAGCAGAGTAGACAGACAGCCATCTACAGAGCTGGGAAAACCTAAGTCCAAAGTCCCACCTGTAACACATAGCAGCCATGTAACCCTGGGCGGTGGATTTCAAAACTGGAGTTCAGATCTTGCTTCTGCCACTGCCTAGTTTTTTCATCTGTAACTTGGGGGTGTATTTTGTAATAGCACCTACTTCGACAGATTGTTGTGATGATCAAGTGGGATGATTAAGTAAAGTACTTAGCAAACCTTAAAGTGTTTGTCATTATGTGCTGTGAAGTTGCAGAGAAGGTACAGGTCTGTTTTGGTAGAGGAATTTCCTGCACCAGTGAAGTCACAGGACTGGTCCCTATTTTTATTTTGCCCCCATAACCACCTCATGAAATAAAAGGGCCATATTTTACAGAGGGTGAAACTGAGGGGAAGTGACTTGTTCAAGTTTACAATTCTTTTTTTTTTTTCCCCCGGCTGATTCCCCAAATGGGCCAAGCTGAATCAAACTCTTTGGTGTGCATTACCTGGTGAATAATGGACTTCATCACAGAAGCCCATCAATCCAGCCATCTTTCTTGGTGCTTACTAGGTCCCAGAGGGCAAACTGTATCTGTTTCATCTCCTAATACAATTAGTGTCTTATGGTTTTACACAGCACTTTCCTCACTGTTACAATATGATATGTATGGAGTAAGTGTTATGATTCCCTTTTTCCATGTGAGGAGACAAACTCAAAGAGGTATTGGTGCTGGTCACATAGCTGTTGTCAATCAAGATTTGAACTAGGTATTTCTGATTCTAAGATCAGTTATTTTTCCACTGCACCACACCTGCATTCAATAAAACCTTCACTAAAGACCTAACCTGATATCTCATTGTGATGTGGAGGTAGTCCTAGCTAGGTTCTTGAAGGCTATGCCAATGGATAGATCCTGCCAAGCTGATGGGTGAAATATGACATCCAGCAGCCAGCGTAGCCAAGTTCAGAAGGCTCAGCTCCAGAACAGTCACAGGATAATGGATTTTATTTTAATCACAATAATTTTTAAAGAGCATTTAAGTTATAGAATGGTTATAATTTGTCTTAGATTTACCTGTATCAATGAAATTTTATATCTTTCAAGGAAGAGGTATTACCCTAAATTTAAGACACTGCATGGCCAGCAGTGTTGGTTAAATAATCAATAGCCAATAAACATTTTAAGGTGCCTACTATGTGCTGAATGCTGGGGATACAAATATTGAAAAAAGTCCCTGCCCTCAAGGAGCTTGTAATCTAATGTGGGAAGACAATACACAAAACAAATTTGAAAAGCAAAGTGGAGGAGAGGTGGAAGATGACACTGGTTAAGCCAAAGATGATCAATATGAATGTATAAATACAAGATCTTTTCTCTTGCCCACTGCCCCTTGGGATCTTTAAGAGGCAAAAGAAATATCAGGCCATTCTATTTCTTCTTAATAACTCTCAGGCAACGTAGATTAGTAGAAATAGCATTAAATGCTGAGGCAGAAGATCTTAGTCTAAATCCTGACTGATACTTAACAGCTATTTGATTCCTGTAGATATGGAAAACATACAATACTCTGCATTGCCTACCTCACAAGGATCTAGTGAAGATCTAAGATGATAGACATGAGTATGTTTTTCATTGCAAAACTCCATATAAATGTTAAGACATTTCAGCTAGATTAAGAAACATGGGATGGTATACCTATGGGACTATTTGTCAAGGGCACTGACTGCATATATTGCTAATTCTGCTGTTAGGAAGATAGTATTAAATATTTATCATCCATAAATGTGTTTGTGGATCCTTTTCACTATACACTTGAAGACTAGAGGCTATAAGTAATGGTGACGTTTCTCTTGTTAGCACCCATCTCTATTATCTAACTGTTGTAATGTTTCTTGTTTCATTCCTTAAAGATTGTTACCTACTGAGGAGAAGGCATCTCTGATTTTACTTAGTCATCAATAGGGATTCCAATTTTTATGTTTTCATAAGTCATAGAATCTTATAACTGGAATGAGCTTTGGATTATAATGTTAGAACACATCTTTCCTCTTTGTAGAGAAGTGGGAGGTTGTGGGTATGGAATATGTGGCATGTTGTAAAACTTGATTATTTTGTTGGTAGCTTATGCTTTTTTCTGTATTATAAGAGAAAATTCAGTGAGGGAAGAGAACATATTGAGAAATGACTATGATGTCAGTTTTAAAATGGAGGAAAAAATAGAATATTGCCTTAGAAATGACATGGTTAAACTTCACCTTACAGACAAGGAAACTGAAGTCCCAAGAGGGGAATTGATTTCCTTTATATCACAGATTGATTTGAGGCAGAGCCAGTACTCAAACCCAAATCTGACTCACAATCTAGTGTCTCTGCCACACCATGCTGCCCAGCTCCTGACCAGTGGGAGCTAACACAATTAAGGGAATGATATAATCATGTATAATCCAGCTTACATTTAACATTCTGTAGTATCACAAGAAGATAGGGGTGTTGGAAGGAACACTGGATTTAGATGCTGTCGGGACAGTGAAGCAACTTGCAGATAGCCATTCTAAGTATCAGAGCCAAAATGCAGGCCCAGCTCTTCTGACTCCATATATACAGCCCTTTTTAATCATGATTGCTGAATACTAGCTGTACATCATTGTCAAATTATGATGTTTCCTCATCTGTAAGATGTAGTATTTCCTCCTTTTATTGTGAACTTAAATGTCAAAGACAGATACTTCAGTGTATAAAGAAAAGGGGAATGTATGTGAAATTGAACTATTTTATACTTCAGCCACTGCCTCCTTTCATATAGTTCCCAAATCTGCATGTCCTCTTTTGACCTCTCTCCTGAGCTGTAGATGAAGATCTTCAACTGCCTGCTGGACATCTTCATCTGGATGTTTGGCTTCTCAATTTCAACGTATCTAAAACTGAACTCAGCTTACCTTCCTGACTTCCTCTGTTGCTGTTACTGACATCTTTCTAGTTACTCAGCCTTGAAACTTCAACATCAACTTTGATTCTTCCCTCTTTTTCACTCTTCATATACAACCAGGAAATAAATCCTCTGTATTGTGCTACCCCAGGCTACCCCAAACTAGGTTGTTTTTCATCCTAACACAACCTTTCCCACCTTATCTCCCACTGTGCCTCTATATGTGCCTTACTTTGCAAACTTACTCTGCAAAATAGTCTCCTTGCCTATTCCCCAAAAGTATTGTATACCTTCTAAACTCCCACATCTTTACTCATATGTCCGAAGAGAGAGAAATCTTAGAGGGCACATAGAGTAAGCCCTCTAATTTTATAGCTAAAGGAACAGGCCCAAAGAGGGCATGGAGACTCAGCCAAACATCAAAAGGCAAGTGCTGGGACAGAACATTAAGTCCCAGGATCCTAATGTTTCATCTTCTCTTCTTCAGGTGCTACTCGTAGCCAGCTAAGCAAAGGCAGAACCAGCCGGCGCCCCACTGTGGCACGAGTACGTGTGGCTGTGAGGCTTAGGCCCTTTGTGGAAGAGGCCAACAGCACCAGTGAGAGCTCCTGTGTACGGGGCCTGGACGGCTGCTCCTTGGAGATTGCCAATGGGAGAAATAGTCAGGAGACACTCAAATACCAGTAATGGCCATGAGCCCCCTTCTTTATATCACTGCTTCAGAATCCCTAGGACCCTCACATTGGCATCACTTGTGGGGACTGCTTTGTTGACCATGTTTATTGCTGTTTCTCATGCACATGTCCCTGCTGCCATATCCCGTCTCTGTGCTCTAGGTCCTAAGCCCTCTTCCTTCTATAGTCTAAACTAGTTTGTCCAATTCCCATCTTTCTGGTTTACAGGTTTGATGCCTTTTATGGAGAAACAAGCACCCAGCAGGACATCTATGTTGGCTTTGTCCACCCCATCCTGCGCCACTTGATGAATGGACAGAATGCCAGTGTGCTTGCCTATGGTCCAACAGGCGCAGGTTAGGGAAGAGTAGAATGGGTACCGGGCTTTGTGCAGAGGGGAAGAAGAGATAATAAGGTTGTCTGAGAGCCAATAATCTTACTGTTTCCTCTTGTCATCTTCCTACAGGAAAGACATACACAATGCTAGGCAGCCCAGAACAGCCTGGCATTATCCCTCGGGCCCTCAAAGACCTCTTGCAGCTTACCTGGGAGGAAGGTGCTGAAGGGCGACCCTGGGCCTTTGCTGTCTCCATGTCCTATTTGGAAATATACCAAGAGAAGGTGAGACTTCTCCTGAGTCAGGAGAGATTAAGGCAGGAATTTGAGGCTTAAACCTTTGGGACAGGGAAGAGAAGGAATGATTGAGTGGGAAACTTAAGATCTTGTTCAGAGTAAGTAGGTTAGGATGGTAGTGAGGCCCAGTTCAAAAAGGTCAAGATGCCACCTATAAAGGATTCTGCCTTGCTTCTGTTTCCCAGGTGTTGGACCTGCTTGCCCCAGCTTCAGGGGACCTAGTGATCAGAGAAGATCGGTGGGGGAACATCCTGATCCCTGGGCTCACCCAAAAACCTATTGCTTCCTTCACTGACTTTGAGCAACATTTCCTGCCAGCCAGCAGAAACCGGACTGTGGGAGCCACTCGGCTCAACCAGCGCTCCTCTCGAAGCCATGCTGTGCTCCTGGTCAAAGTGGGTTTGGAGAGAGGAAGGCTCAAATAATGTTGTCAGCATGTTGGAGGTTGGAGGGATCCATCTGGGTTTTGGATGGGTGGTAAGGAAAAAGGTCCCTCAGAGCTGGGCCTCTGAACTTTCATTCACTCAGTAACCTCTCACACACACAGGTGGAACAGCGAGAACGCATTGCCCCATTCCGGCAGCGGGAGGGGAAGCTCTATCTGATTGACCTGGCTGGTTCAGAGGACAATCGGCGTACAGGCAACCAGGGCTTGCGACTGAAGGAGAGTGGAGCCATCAATGCCTCCCTTTTTGTGCTGGGCAAGGTGGTAGATGCATTGAACCAGGGCCTGCCTCGTGTTCCCTACAGAGACAGCAAGCTTACCCGACTGCTGCAGGTCAGGTTGCTCTGGGATGCAAGGGTCCCTGGTATTGGCATTCTAACAGTGTAAAAAGGAGGTGGTCTGAGTTCTTCCTAAGGGACAAAGGTTCTCAGTTCTATTAAAAATCCCTTCTATTTGTATAGCACTTTATAGTTTTACATTCTCTCTCTGAAGCTCACAGTAAATCTAAGATAGGCAGGCCAAATGACATCCCTATTTTACAGGAGAAGAAAATTAAGCTCAGAGATTAGGTAACTTGTCCAAAGTCACACAGCTAGTAAATAGTAAAACCAAGAGTAGAACCCAGACTCTCAAATTAATGCTTTTTCCACTATACCAAGCTGAGGACTGAGAACAGCCAAGGTAAATGGGAGGGGATGGTATAGTGATGGCAGCTGTACCTTTGGAAATAGGGGCAGACCATGGTTGAAGATAGGATACCTAGGTCCTGACTCACTTTCCCTGTCTTCCCTAGGACTCCCTCGGAGGTTCAGCCCACAGTGTGCTCATTGCCAATATTGCTCCAGAGAGGCGTTTCTACCTAGATACAGTCACATCACTCAACTTTGCCTCCAGGTCCAAAGAAGTGATCAACCGGCCATTCACCCATAAAAGTTTTCAGCCTCCTGGTGAGAAGGGTATGGTAGGACAGGGACAAGAAAGGAAAAGGAGGAAAGAGCCTTGAAGTATTATGATATCTGTAGTCTTGCTGAGGCTGCTAGAAGCAAAGAGATAGATACATGTGATACCCTTTTTACCATATAACTTTTATCCCAGTGAAGTTGGCCCAAAAGGAACTGATGGACCCCCCAGAAGCAAAGAGGGCCAGAAGCCAGGAAGAATTGGAGGATGGGACAGGTAGCCCAGACCTGCCAACTAGCTGTCTCAAACTCAGGTGAGATAGGAAGGACCTCAAATATCCTCTCTCCCACATAGACAGCAATGATGTGTTCAGGGCAAGTTCCTAAATAAGAACCAGACAATTAGAATTGGTGCACATACAGGCAGACAAATTACTGATTCTTAAATCTATGCAAAATAATCAGAGGACACGTGTGTGCAGTGTTGTGGCTATCTGCATTTTCTGCCACCAAACAGGAATTTGAGCTATGGCCTTAAGAACAGACCCCAACTCTCTTTGTCTCTGCCATGGCATATATACATTGAGAGTAACATCCTTGGGTCAGCTGTCTCAAGAAGCATTCAGGGCTTGGTCTGGGCACAAGTCCTATCCAGGTTTGTAGTTTAAGGTAGCAAGTCCAACAACTTTTTCATGGCTTAACCTGCACAGCAAAGTGTGACCTTTGCAAAGGAAATATCTAATCCTAATGCATGAGCTATTGTCCGTTAAGGATAAGGGAAGAATCCAGAGAACGCTGAGTTGGGAGGAAAGTGCGTATAAACTAGAAAGGGGCAAGTTTAATTTCCCCTCTGAAAATGGAGGGGAAAAAATAACCCTGGTCCAGTTAGCTTAACATCTCTTCCTGGGTAGTATGACTGTTCAGAGCCATTCTAGTCTTTGGTTCATGAGGCCAGTCATCCTATCCTAGAAATGTAAATGTAGTTAGTAAAGGAAAAGCTAATAGAGCTTGCGTAAAGCACTTTACATACTTCTGGTGTGATCCTTACCATAGCCTTATGAAGTAGCCAGGGCAGATAGTATTATTCCCATTTTGTGAGGCCCCCAGAAAGTGTCATGTAGCTCCTAAGTGCTAGAGCTTTTGGTTGAAGTGCTGTTCCTACTTCTTCAGGTAATCAGCCACTTCTAGTAGTGACCAGCACTGGCCCTGGCCCTAATTCTCTAAAATGCCTTGCTTTGAACTGTCCTACAACCTTTGATTGCTGTCATAAGCATCAACTGACCTTTAGCATAGCCTTTGTACCAAATACTTAAAGCTAGTGGATTGTACTAAAGCATTGGTCTCAGCAGTCAGAGAGCTTCCTATCTAAGAGCAGCCCTGTTGTACTGAGAATGAAGGAGCTGTTAGTCCCCAGTGCTGAATAAGCATGAACTGGGTACAGAATCTCTGGGCTGGGCATTGTAAAACTGGACAAGAAATAGAAAATGGTCCCTGTCCATGAGGAATTAAAGACAGGACAGATAAAACAAAAACTCATCATTCCAGTAGGATGCTGTTTTTCCTTGCTCTCCCAAGTGAGTTCTTTCTAAAACCCTAAATACTTTCCCTCTTTAAAAACAAAGCCAAATGGCAGGAGAGGCGAGAAGTGGCTGCTGCGCGCCCCCCGCCCCCCCCCCAGTGACTTAGCTGGTATTTTTGCTCTGGATGGCTTGATTAATGCTTTATTTCACTGGACCTTTGTGCTGCTTTCCCCAAGCATCAAGTCCTATAATCACAAAGCTGTCCCTAACTATCCCACTTTTTGATAATCTTACCTATGTCTTAATTCCTGTAGTGACTGTGGTGTTTGTGACATTATGGCAACATGTTTTGTGTGGGATTTGGGGTTACCTTTTTGTGGCAGTCAGGACCCAAACCAAGGTCTTCAGAGTCACAATCTAATAATGCCTTTGACACTACAAGTTGTTGTACCTACTGAATTGTGGGAAGATGAGGAATTGAGCCATAGGGGGTAGTTAGCTGTTAAATGATGAAAGAGAAGGTAGGTAGAAGTGAATTCATTTATCCTCTTAGTCCCCTGAAGCAGCTGAACACTCTAGAACCAGCTGTGCAAGAGCGCCTGCTAAACCTGGATCGAATTCTAGACTCCCGGGGGAGTCAAGGGACTTCAATCTTAAGCACACCAAGAAGAGAGCGAACAGCCCTAGAAAAGGCTTTGAAAGAGAAGGACTCAGAGATTCAGGTACAGACTGGAGAGACTCAAGGCTGGGTCGAGGCTTTCCTCTGTGCTCCTGTCATGTGTTTCCTTCCTACCTTCTCCTTGCCAGCTCCCTCATCATGGACCTTGACTCAGATTCCATCCCTCCCTAGCTGTACAGCCAGGAATTTAATATTTTAGTTCTTTTTGTGTCATCCTATTCTAGGAATAGGGAAACAAATCTACATTAGGCCCTCAGGTGTTTGATAGTGACTAGATCACCCTCTTCTTTCATTTATTCCCACAGAGGCTGAAGGAAAAGTATAAAGAGCTGGAGGCCAACAGACTGAGTCAGAGGCCCAAAGAATTGGAGGAAGAGGAGAATGGTTCCCTGGCCTCACCTTGCCCCTTTCCCTCCCAAACAGTCCCCATGACCAAACCCCTGAATAGGGTTGTACCCCTTCAGCTAAGTAAGGAAAGGGGAAAGGGGTGGGGAGGGCTGGAAGTTCTGGATGGGACAAGGCAGATTGGTGACGGCTTTGACACAATTATTGCCTCCAATCCCCACTGTTAGTTCAGGAGCAGACAACATCCCAAAGCAAGACCCGTTTCCTGCAGAAAGAAAGCCAGAAGAGGAAGGTAAGACAACCTGGAGACTTGGGTGCTTGGCCTATGGGGGTGCGGATGGGGTGGGTGTGTGAAAAGCCCAGACATGTTGTTTGGCAAACCTTTGTCATTCAAGTGTCTACGGAGCTTCTAAGGATGTGAGTTAGCCCCCAGCTCTAGGAACTAGAATCTAGTTAGTGGCGGTGAAAAATGTAAACACAAGAAAAATTAAACACTAGATGAGGTCTGTGATAAAAGTAGAGATCTCTGGAGGTGGCATGTAAATAATTGCCAAATGGGAGGTACTCTCAAGTGCCATGGGAGCTCAGAGAAGGGAGAAAGCAGTGGGCTAGAACAGCGGGCTCTGAAAGCTGTCATGGAGGGTGGTACTTGAAGGATGGGTTGATTTAGGATAGGTCTGAGGCTGGGGTGGGAATGGATGGGGTGTGTTCCAGCGATAATCAACCCATCAACCCTGTGCCAGAGAATAGTGGGATAGGGAAGAGGAGAAGGGAAGGCTGGAGCTGGCCAGCCCCTCCACGTGTTGCCGGCTGCCTACCTGCAGCCCGCAGGGAGCCCCTGGAGATCCCACACATACCCTCCTCTCTCTGTCCAGCTGCGGCCGGAGCCACCCCGCGGGCAGCCCGAGCAGCAGGCTGAGGGGCTCCGTACCACCTTGGCGATGCTGCAGGTGCCTCCAGACCTCCTGGCTGAGAGCCGCAGGAGGATCCTGGGCCTGCTGAACACAGGCTCGGCCAAGGAGCTTCGGAGGCTGCAGCGCATTGGAGAGAAGAAAGCGCAGCTCATCGTGGGCTGGCGAGAGCTGCACGGCCCCTTTGCGGAGGTGAGGCAGGGGCCCAGGTCGGACCGGGAGGAGAACGAGGACGGGAGGCGAGCCTTTCCGAAGGCAGAGTGATGCTCTTCTCTCCCCGCAGGTGGAGGACCTGGGGCGGGTGGAAGGTATCTCCGAGAAGCAGGTGGCCACCTTTCTGAAGGTACGGGGGAGAGCTGGGCCGGGGAGGGGAGGGCCTGGCCAGGGCAGGGCTCTAATTCCCTTCGTTCTCCTTTCCCAGGCCAACATCCTGAGCTTCGTCGCCGAGTGCTTCACTGCCTTGCCTCGGAAGGACTCCTGAGCGCTGCAGCCCCCGGCGGCCGCCTCTTGGCCCGAGGAGCCCCTGCACTCTGTCCGTGTTTTATGGGAGGGGGAGGGAGGGTTTTGTAAATAGAGTATTTTGTCCAGTCGCCTCTGCCTGATTCTTGGGGGGGAGGGGGGCTCCCGGAGCCTGCCATCTGCGCATCTGCTCTCGGACCGGGTGTGGGGGGGGTGTCATCGCTGTGTACTAATTACTGATTATCTGTTTTCCAACATAATTTAACATTCGCCCCCTTTTCTCCAGGGGAAAGTCGTCCTTTTCGATGAAATGAGCGGGGAGGTCCAACGGCCGCCATCTTTTGGGGAGAAGAGGGGGAGGGGAGCAGCGACAATTGTAAATAAACTCCTGAGGGGGAGGGACGGTGGCCGAAACGCGGCAAAATACTTTTGTAAGGCCTGGAGGGCGACGACCGTTAGGCGCGTGCCTAGGATTTTCTCCGCCCCTCCCATCACTGCGCGCGCCCAACCTCGTTCAGCAAAGACAGCGACATGCGCGTGCGCGCGGAATAACGGCCGCTGGCGGAGAGAGGAGGGGGGGACTCGGTAGAGGGAGGGGGGAGCCGCCCCATCCCCCGCGTGCCCACCACCTGCACCATCCTAGGCCAATCAGCTCCTGTCTTGAGGGTCTCGCGCTAACGGAGGCTGGGGCAGCTGGGTGCCTCCCCTCCCCCTCCCGCTCGTGTCCCTCTCTCTCTTCCCCCTCCCCCCTGGACTCGCGCGCTCGTGCTCGCGCTTGCCCGAGACTCCGTGTGTGTGTCCTCGCGCCCCCCTCCCGCTCGCCCGCCCTCCCCGCGCGCAGTGTGTGCTTCGCTCCCCCCATCCTCCTCCTCCCATCCCTCCCGCCCCGCGCGCCTCCCGCCCGCCCTCCTCCTCCCTCTGGTCCCCCCTCCCCCCACCTCCTCCTCCCGCCCCGGGGTGAGCGCGAGCCGCCTCCCTCCCTCCCTCCGCCATGGATCCAGGCAACTGGAGCAGCTTCATCTTCCAGGTAACAACCCCCTCCCACCCCCACGCCTTCTCCTCCCCCCACCCCATCTCCCTCCTACACCCCTCCTCCCTTCCGTTCCACCCCCCTTCCGCGCGCCGGTGGCGCGCAGCTGCCCCCCTCCTTTCCCTCCCTCCCTCCTCCCGAGGCAGAGAGGGAGCGCGCGCGGCGGGGGCAGAGGCTTCTCCCTCGCGTCCCCCTCCCCCACCCACCCCGGGATTCCGCCGCAGCGTACCGGGCGCCCAGCCCGCCGCCTCGCGCCGCTTCCCGCGTCGTCTCGCCCTCCATTCCCGCTCCCTTCCCGGGTCCTGCCCCTCGGCCCCGCCCCCCCCTCGGCTCCTGCACCAGCTCCTGCTCCCCACCTGAGGGGACTTTTTCCCCCTTCCGCCTAGGGGGCGTTGCCTCTCTCCGCCTCAGCCTTCCGAGCGGGTGGGGTGGCAGTTGGTCCTCTCGGCTTCTGGGAGGGGATGTGGATGTGACTGTCCCCCAGCCCCCACTGCCCGGCGCGCTCCCTCAACAATGAGGGGAGGCGGCCTCCCCAGGTCAAAAACGATTGTTCTCTTGCAGTGAGGAGAGTGGTGTGCCATTGAGGGGGGTCGGGGGGCTGACCCCACAACCCCGGGCTTCTTGCCACCACCACCTGGCTTTTGCTGGCTTGCCTATCCCTTCTTCCGGAGCATATTGCCCTTTTGGCCAATTTTGAGGCAATTTATGGGGCCATATCCCCCCAAGGGGATCTGACCTTTCCCCCCAATTAAGGGGACGGGCACTTTCATGAGGATTACTCTCTTTTTTCCAGTTTTATTGTTTATATGACACTTTTAATCCAGGGAGCTCAAGAACCTGTTTTAAGGGGTCGTTACCCCAAGTACTCTTTCCCTCTCTTTCTAACACCCTACTGGCTGGAGGCCATGTTTCCTGTTTTCCCTTGCACCCTCCTGGCCCCCCCATTCCCTGTACTGGGATTGGATTCCAGGGGGGTTGGCAATCTAATGAACTCTTTTCCCCCACCTCAGGGTCACGCCCAGAATCCCCTGCAGGTTGGGGCTGAGCTTCAGTCCCGGTTCTTTGCATCCCAGGGCTGCAACCAGAGTCCATTCCAGGTGAGTACTCTGAGTACCAGGTGGAGGTTGGGGGATGAGGGGGTGCCCAGGATATTGGGTTCTGGGAAATCAAGGAGTGGGACACTTATGTCCCACACATTCTTTCCACTCCCTTCTTTCCCTCTCAGGCTGCCCCAGCCCCCCCACCGACTCCTCAGGCCCCATCCGCTGAGCCCCTCCAGGTTGACCTCCTCCCTGTCCTCGCTGCAGCCCAGGAATCTGCTGCTGCTGTGGCGGCAGCAGCCGCAGCAGCGGCTGCAGCCGCTGCTGCCCCCCCAGCCACTGCCACAGCTTCCACAGTGGACACAGCAGCCCTGAAACAACCCCCTGCACCACCTCCACCACCCCCTCCAACCTCTGCACCAGCTCCTGAAGCTGCACCTCCAGCTACAATTGCTGCTGCTACTGCCACAGCTGCTGCTGCCCCAACCTCCACAGCTGTTGTAGCTCCTGTAGCTACTGCTCTGGAGAAGAAATCAAAGAGCAAAGGGCCATATATCTGTGCCCTCTGTGCCAAGGAGTTTAAGAACGGCTATAATCTTCGACGGCATGAAGCCATCCATACGGGTGCCAAGGCTGGGCGGGCTGGCCCAGGTGCTATGAGGATGCCCACCATGGTGCCCCTGAGCCTCCTAAGTGTGCCAGCAACACTGGGCGGAGCTGGCGGGGGTTGGGGTGAAGGGGGTGCTGGGGGTTGGGGGGCTGGAGTTGGTGGAGGCGGCGTGGTGACCACCACAGCCTCTGGGAAGCGGATCCGGAAGAACCATGCATGTGAGATGTGCGGAAAGGCCTTCCGTGATGTCTACCACCTGAACCGGCACAAGCTGTCACACTCTGATGAGAAGCCGTACCAGTGCCCTGTCTGTCAGCAGCGCTTCAAGCGCAAGGACCGCATGAGCTACCATGTGCGCTCACATGACGGCGCTGTGCACAAGCCCTACAACTGCTCCCACTGTGGCAAGAGCTTTTCCCGGTGTGCACAGGGATGGGCCACCCACAATGGGGGGTGGGAGAGATGCCCATCAGGCAAAGAAGGCTTCCAAGGATGGGGGAGGAGAGAAGGTAGTTTCACTGTAATGAGGGCAAAAGGGAGAGGCCTCATCTAAAGGAGACCTCAAGAAAAGTACAAAGGGATAATCTCACAATGGGAAGAAGTCTTGCATGAGGGGAGGGACTTTCTGGGTAAATAACAGTTGCTGGACTTCAAAAAAGGATGTACTTTCTAATGGGAAGAAACACAGTACAGAGTAGGGGAAGTGGGATCACCCCCACTTTTAAGGCCAACTGCCTAACCCCTTCCCCTAACAAATTCCCCCAGGCCAGACCACCTCAACAGCCACGTCAGACAGGTGCACTCAACAGAACGGCCCTTCAAATGTGCGGTATGGAGACATTGATGTACTGCTACTTTTTCATTATTTAAACCCCTTTACACCTATCCAGACTCAGCCTCTCAGATCTTATTCTCTCAGAATTCTAATTTCTATTTGGCCTTTAATTCAATTCTTATTCCTTCTTAAAGGTTTAATCTTTTCATTCCTATTTGCCTATGGCTCTAAGATCCCATACTCCACGTTTCTGGGGCTTTGACTTTATCCCCCCATCCCCAGTACTCATCTCCTTTCTCTAATAGCTCTTAACTTCTCCTCTGACTTCTCTACCACAGACATGTGAAGCAGCATTTGCTACCAAGGACCGACTTCGAGCACATACGGTGCGGCATGAAGAGAAGGTGCCATGCCACGTATGTGGCAAGATGCTGAGCGCAGCCTACATCTCTGACCACATGAAGGTGCACAGCCAGGGGCCTCATCACGTCTGCGAGCTCTGCAACAAAGGTAGGGAGTGAAAGGGCTGGAAGGGACTAGAGGAAAAATAGCCAAGGATTCACTATACTGGTGAATTCCATGATAAAAGCTATAGACCAGCAAGGCTGTAGAAGAAGGGAATGGTTTCCTGATGTACAATTCAAAGGACCAATTGGTTTCCCCTTGGATAAATAGAGTGCAGCTGCATCTGGAGAGAGACACAGTAGCTTACTTAAAAGACCTAAAGTTAACAGAACCACATTTATGTTATCAGGGAGAAAACACAGCTTATTGCTAAGAAATGATGCTCCCATCTTCTAAGTCTTACTGAGGAAAAGATGGGGATGCAGTTACCTCTGGTAAGAAGTAGCCAAATAGAACAAACTTCATGGGAAATTGGGAACTGGTTTCCCTCAGTGTTAAGAAACAAAAGATGCAACTGCTTCTGCAAAGAGATACACTGAAGACAAGTTGACTGGATATAATGGGTCCATCAGTGTTTGGGGACAAACATGCAACAAATAGCGTTTGTGGAAGGACACACCAGACAGAGAATGCTAATCCCTCTGGGTGACAGTAACTGTAACTGGAATGGGGGGGTGGGTGATGGAAGAGCAAAGACGTGCATCTGAGAGATAATGCGGGCAGCTCTGGGGAAGAGTTATTTGTTGAGCAGAACAAGCTTCCTTTAAATGGAGTAAGTTTCCTCGGTAATTGGGAACTAAATTCTTAGGATTTGGGGGGTTGGGGGACACAGCCGTCTCTGGGGAAGGATACGTTCACTTAGAAAAAATGCCCTGAGCAACTAGGAATCCTGTCTCCTGCCACCTCTGGAGAGTGTTTTGCCAGTTGGGAAGAATAAGTTCTGTGGGTCCTAGGGAGAGAGATCACAGCTATCTCTGGAAAGGAGTTATTTGCTGAGTAGACAAAGTTCTAAGTTTGGGGAATGAAAAGAGAATATCACCTCTGGGCAGAAGGGCAGAAAATCACTACCTGAATAGAAAGATATTCCCCAGGTTGTTGGACATAGCTGACCTAACTATTAGTGAGGACTTGAGTCCTCAACCTAGGAGAACATCCCCGTCTCCGGGGTCTCCGCTTAGCTGACCCCTGTCCCTGTCCCCATCCCGGTCACCCCGTAGGCTTCACCACGGCGGCATACCTGCGCGTCCATGCGGTGAAGGACCACGGGCTCCAGGCCCCCCGGCCCGACCGGCTCCTGTGCAAGCTCTGCAGTGTGCACTGCAAGACCCCTACCCAGCTGGCTGGCCACATGCAGACCCATCTCGGGGGGGCCGCACCCCCTGTCCCTGGAGACGCCCCTCAGCCACAGCCGCCACCGCCGCAGCCCACCTGCTGAGGGGAACCCCTGCACCCACCAGGCAAGGCGCAGCGCACGGCTGGTGGGGCATGGGGGGTGAGGGGTGGAAAGGGATCAGAGGACCCCAGGGGTAGGAAAAGGGTACTTAGGAAGGCCCAGAGGGGCAGGATAGGGTCACTAGGGAATATAGGCTAGGGAGGAACTTGGGATAGGGAGGGCCTTTGAGGAGAACTTTTGAAGTGTCTCCAAGGGAAAGAAGACAGGCTGGAAAGAGAAAACCTGAACCTCTGGAGAGGGAGCAGGAAATGTGCAACGGCTGTGTCCCAGGGGAGGGAATGGTACAAGAAACAGCTTCCTAGGCAGAGAGGGGAAGCAGTTACAAGGGAGAAAGATCTTGGCACGGGTTCTACACTGATAACTCTTTCTCTCTCTCTTTTCCCCTCTTCCCCTCCCTCCTTGCTGCAGGTACAGGTGAGGTTTGTCCTATGGCAGCAGCAGCATCAGCGGCGGCAGCGGCGGCGGCGGCAGCAGCAGCAGTTGCAGCAGCTACCCCCACAGCTGTGGGCTCCCTTTCTGGGGCAGAGGGTGTCCCTGTGAGCTCTCAGCCACTTCCCTCTCAGCCCTGGTGAGCCCTGAGGTGGGGGTTGGGGTGTAGAGGAGAGGCCTCAGTCCCCTTTCTCCTCTCCCACCCCCTTCCCACCAACTCAGTTCCTTCTCCCACCAACAAAGGAGCCACCAGAAGGAAGGAGTTAAGAAATGTTTTCTTAGGGGAATTCACTAGATTTTAAACATTTGTTTCTCTTCTATCTCCCCTCTCCCTACATGAACCCCATTGTTCCTCTGGTGATTTGGGGGCCCCCTAAGCTAATATCAGGGGTGGCAGAGGACAAACCAGCTGTCTCATTGCCCTCTCTTCTCCATCGCCCTTCCCATGCTCTCCCAGGGATTTGAGAATCTTTTTCCTTTAAAGGTCCTTTTCCTTCCCACCTTTCCAGTCCGCTATTTGCCTACTGTCTGCTGCCCATCCCTGGGGAGTTGGTGCTGTTTAAATGGGGGGGGCGGGGTAAGAGTGTGGAGGAAGAAAGAAGGGAAATCAAAGATTCTGTCCTGGGTGTGGGGAGAACAGAGATTTGAAAGAAAGAGGCTGAGGTGAGGGGCAAACAATAAAGGACTCAGTGTCACAGGTGGAGGTTTGTTTGGGGTCCTTGGCCCTAATCTTATCCCTCTGGAATGTCTCATAAAGAAGACTGGGCAAGTAAGGGGATAAAACATTTTGGGGAGAAGGCAGAGTAAGAGGCAGGACCTTGGGGGAAGGGAGTAGGGTAAGTAAAGGACAGAATGAGAGGATAAAGTTTTGGGGGTGCCAGAAAATAAAGGTGCTTCCCGGGGGGGGAATGCAGCAGCAGTATTTCCCCAATCCCCTCTCATCTCAACTGTAGTTCTGTCCTTTTTTTTTTCAGCCTTTTTTCCCCTCCTCTCCCCAACAGAAATTGTGGCCCTAGCCATGACATCGTGTTCCTGTGTCCCCCTGCATGTTCCCCACCCCTCACCCCCTTCCTTTGCGGACCCCATTACAATAAATTTTAAACAAAAACAGATACCTGATTCTGGCTATTTGTCTCTTACCCCACTACCATCTTAATCACACACAGATGCCTACACCTGCCAAGCTGGGGTCAACAATAGCAGCCCCCACTGCTCTCCTCTATCCCTTTTCCTCCCACCCACCCAGACACCAGAGTCTATTGCTTTCCTTACTGTGGGCCCTGATCCCAGACTCCTCAGTTCTCTGTTTAATCTCCCTCCTCAGTGGCGGACACCAGTGGCTGCAGCCCAAATGCAGGGTGGAGCAGGGAGGATCCAGTGTCTGTGGCTAGCAAGCTCCAGGACTCCTAGGTCTCTGGGGAAATCCCTGCCCTGGAGAAGCTAATCGCTATTCAAGGCTTCTGCTAGATATTCGCGGGCTATCTGCTCCGTTCAGGGCAGAGCCAGCTCCCCCCAGCATTCCTGCCAAAGGGCATATCTTGGGACCCCACAGTCAAATACCTGCAAAGTCATGTCATCGATGCAAGCTGGAACAGTGGCAGGGCTGGGGAAAGTCTGAGAGCCCCAGGACCGTGGGGGGGGGGGTGAGGCCAGTGAAGAAGGGAAGTTGCAGTTGGCCCCTATGGACACCCAATTCCTGCCTTTACCTCCCCTGAAGCTTACCAGCCTTCCCTGAGGTGCTCCTCCACAGCCCCTTCACCTGCGCCCCACCTCCCAACCTCTTCCTTTTCGCGTTCTTATCACTCTCTCGGACCCTTCTCTCCCTGCCCTTTCCGTCTGCTCCTGGTCCACTTTTTTTGGGGGGAGGGGGACCACTCTCTTGCGCTCCCCTGTGGGTCCCTTCCGTCTCCCGCCGCCCATACCCTGATCCCGCAGCCTAGCCTGTCCCCCCTCTCCGGACACAGCCCTGGCTCCTCTCCCCTTCCCCCCGTGCCAGCCTCTCCCGTCTGGTCTCACACCCCGCACCGCAGCCCTTCAAGCTGAGGGAGGGGGAAGGGAAGTTCGGCGACCGTTGGGCTGGAGCGGGGCGCGAGGGCCTGGGGGGTCGCTGGGTGAGCAGGGGTGGGGGCGCGAGGCAACCTGCTGGTTGCCAGGGTAACTCAGGGCCCCAGCGCGCGAGGTTCCCCCGAGTCCAGGATGGGAGGGGAGGCGATGGAGTGCTGGGGGGCGGGGGCGGCGCGCGCAAGGCGGGGTGGAAGGAGGGAGGGGGGAACCGCTGCCTCGCTCGCTCACTCGCTCGCTTGCTTGCTCCCTGGCTGCTGCAGCGGCGGCGGCGGCGGCGGCGGCGGCAGGAGCAGCCCCCAGGGCTCTGGGAAAAGAAGAGGAGGTGAGCAGAGAGTGTTATGCGGAAGGGCCCGGGGGCCCAGGGGGTAGGAGTAGAAGAGATTCACTGTGTGAATGTAGGGTGCATGGACTAATGGAGCCCCCGCGCAAGAATGCGGGGTCCCTGCGGGTGGTGGGGTGGGGGAGAGAGAGGTGCCAGGGTTCTGGATGGTGACTTGAGGAGCTGGAGGGAAAGGGTGCATGTGAAACCAAGATACTAAGATAATGTAAAGGCACGGGGATCTGAGGGAGAAGCAGCAGGGAGGGTGGCGCTCCCCTGGGAGAAGAGACTGGAGAGAAATGAGGAAGGGATTCCCCCTTCCCTAGGGGAGGGGGCTCCATACCCACGCAGTAAGAAAACCACCAGTCTGAGTTGGGGGGGAGGGGAGGGGTGTGAGGGAAGGGAGGGAAGAAGGGATGGGGAGAGTTACCAAACAAGGGAGACTGGAACCAGTTTGAGGGAGAATGGAGGAAAGAAGGGAAAGCGTAGAGCGAGACAGAAAGGAAGAGTGTCCATTTGTCTGAGAGTGGGTTCATCAGCGTGCCTGTGAGAGACTGTATTTGGTAGGCAAGGCGGTGACTGCTGCCTGCTGCTTATGGCTCAGCGTCTGGGTCTGTCTATGCGTGTCTGCATCTCTATCCGTGGCTGAGTTTCCCTGGATGACACAGGGGAGGCGGCCCTGAAGAAAGTGGGTGTGGGTGGAGAGCTGAAGGAAGGCTAGCTTTCTGCTCCTGGCACCCAAAGGGTTAACCCAGATGTGAAGGGGAATCTCACTTTCTAAGGTACCCCATCATCTTCCTCACTTCGAGAATCCCACAGGCAGCAGCAGCACCTCCCCCACCTTAAACCCCACCTCACTGCTGTCCCAACTGGAAGAAAAAGTCTCAGCTCTTTCCATTACTTACCCAAAGCTGCTAGCCTGCCCTCGAGCTCAGAGGAAAAAGCATGGACCTCTTGAGGCTGAGGTATTTCCCTCTGAGTTTGTTGACACTTGGCCATTACCTTGCCCCTCTTCAGAGTCAGAGGTGCCTCCATTCAGAGCCAGCTGAGGCTCCTGGGCTCCATGTTCTACACTTTCCCTTCCCCAGACCCAGCTGTGTCTCCTCTTATTCCAGGATATCCTGTTGCTGCTCTCTCCCCTTCCCCCACTATCCTATCCCTCCCCTTTCCCATCTCAAGATGGCATCCAGTGGCTCTGATGGGGCAGAGATGAAGGGGGATGAGGAGGGTACCTCAGCCCAGGGCGAAGGGACTGGAACAACTACTCCTGGAGCAGAGACTACCCTTCCCCAGCCTCCAGCTGGGGCCCAGGACATCACAGAAACCACCCAAATGGGTTCAGAGTCCACCAGACCCTCAGATGAAGGCCCAGAAGTGGGGACATCCCCTGAACAGGCAATAAAAACTTTAGAGGCACTAGAAGGGACTCCAAACCCAGCCAAGGAAACAGACTCCATACCAGACCCAGGAAGTTCACTGGCAGAACAGACCCCTGGAGCAGACTCACATCCTCAGCTAACACCAGAAACCTACAAAGAATCCATCCTAACCCAAGAAGGGAGCAAAAAGCCAACTGAAGAAGGGAGCATAGAGCTGGCCCAAGAAGGAAGCAAAGAGCCTGCCCAAGAAGGGAGCAAAGTGCCCGCCCAAGAAGGGAGCAAAGAGTCTGCCTCAGTTCTAGAAGTAAGCAAAGAACCATCTCCAACCCCAGGCCCAGAGGCAGAACAGGCTAAGCAGGAGCCAGTGTCTGACTTCAGGCCAGTCCCCCAGCCCACATCTCCTGTCCAAAAGGCAGTGCCTATCTCCACAGCCCCTGAGGACCTAACCGAGGACCTGATGGAGAAACAAGAAAATGGGGCAGTAGTGCCAATAAAGGCTGGAGAGGGAGACAAGGGCACAACTCCTCAGCCCCACTCTCCTCCTCCACCCAAGGGCCCTCCAGCCAATGGAGCACCCCCAAGGGTGCTACAGCAGTTGGTGGATGAGGAGAGAGGAGTTGGGGGGCATGGTACAAAGCCTGGCTCCCCTAGAGGCAGCCTGAGCCGCCAGCCCAGCTCCCTGCTGGGGGGGCCAGGAGTTGAGGGGGGTGAAGAGATCCCAAAGCCACGTGACTACATCATCATCGCCATCCTATCTTGCTTCTGCCCAATGTGGCCTGTCAACATCGTGGCTTTTGCTTATGCCATCATGGTGAGTCCTTGGGAATCCCCACCTTCTCTCTGCCCTAGCTCCCTTATATTCCAGTTCAAGTGCTCCCCATGAAACCCCAAGGATGAGGGTGATGAGAATTGGAAGGAGGGTGTTTCTTATTTCTGGGCCACCTCCTCATGGACCCTGAGACCCCTATCTCCAAAAAATTCTGGGCCTCTTCCTTTAGATTTTCGTCCATTTATTCCTCTCCTTTGATCTCATCTCTCCTGGGCCCTTGTATCCCAGAAACTTTCTCCAAAACCCTCTACTTCCCAGGGAGGGGTAAAGGGGAAAAAATAGGTTTTTGACCTTATACTGATGATCTATCAACCTTTTCTTCTTCTTCTCTCTCCTCTCTATACATTATGACTGACACTCGGGCTGAATAATGATGGTCACCTGATCCTCACCACCTTGTTGGACCCTCACCATGATCCTCAATGCTGTTGGTGACCACCCCAGTCTCGGAACAGTCTACAGCAGGGTGATGTGGATGGAGCTCAGCGCTTGGGAAGGGTGGCCAAGCTGTTGAGTATCGTGGCATTGGTGGGTGGGGTCCTCATCATCATTGCCTCCTGTATCATCAACTTTGGATGTAAGTATGAGCTTGGGTTGGTTGGGGAATGGGGATGGGGATGGGGTTGGGGATGAAGAAGGGGCTGGGTGAGTGGTGGGTGTTTATGGTAGAGCCTGGAAGCTAGAGAATTGAATGGGTGGAGAGGGGTTGGTTTTCTTTGAAAGACTGTGGCTCTGTGGAAATAGAGCTATATTTGAAGAAAAGTGGAACTGGTTGTTAGTGGAGGTCTAGCATCACTAACCTCATGTACCTACTCTTTCTCTCTCCAACTCTCTCTCTCTCTCTCTCTCTCTCTCTCCTCCCCCATCCCCATCCCTTTCTCTCCTCTGAACAGTATTTAAATGAGAGGCTCTATCCTGTGCCCCTACGACTTTTTCTTCTGAACTACCAGGGGTCCATCTCTTCCCTGGGGTGAGACCTAATGATGGCCCCCACCATCAGCCCTTGATCCTACAGAGACCAAGGGAGCTGGAGAAGGGCCTTGTTTACAGTATTCCTTTCCTCCCTTCTTCCTCCCCACTCCCACCTCATTCACCTCTTCCTGCCCTTTTTCTAGCCTCTCTGCTCACCTGCCAATCTTCCCTTTTTTCCTTCTTTCCATCCTTGTCCACCTTCTCTTACTCCCTCCCCTGTTTCCCTTATTCATCTTCCTTATTTTGTTTCCATATTCTCAGCCTCCTTTTCTTTCTCTTCATGGCCTCCTCCCAACATCTCTTTTCTTTTCATCATGTCTTTCCCAGTCCCAATCTACCCTTTTTTCTCATTTCCCTTTCCATAAACTTCCTCAATTTCTTACCTTCCCCCTTGCCCTTTCCTGCGCATACTACAAACTGAATAGACTGAAGTGGGGGCTGTGGTGGGTGACCTGACCCTGTTCCCCATCTCCAGCTGAACAGACTGATCTTTTCGAAAGCCTCCCCTCCTCCTTCCCTCATAGGAAGGGGTTGACAGGGGCTCTGCCCAGTTCAAGTTGGGGAAGGGAGTGATGGTGGGACAACTTCCTGGGAATGATATGCAAAAACAAAACCCCAGCCTATCTCTGACTGTTCATTCTCTTCAAAGACAATTCCTGGGAGCAGACTAAGGGTCTACCCTCCCAGATATCTCCCTGTGAATCAGTATGGGGAGAGAGCTGCATTGAGGGGCATGAGGGGACGGGAGGGGGGTGGGCCTTAAAGAGTCTTCTAATTTCACGGAGGGGTGGGGGAGGGGGGAGAGGCCCGGGGTGCATTGCTGTTTGGTCTGTGATGCCTGTTCTACTCACATTCCACGCATGAGGGAATGGAACTGGGTCGGGTGATTTCTAACCTGGGGGCGTGCTGGCCCAGTCGAGTCACCCGGGCGCTGTGCCCTAGTCCACATCCCCCTCCCCTGGCTGCCAAAAGGAGAGGATTTTAACAGTTTATTTATGTATTAGTTTATTTATAGGGGGAGGGTCGTGCCATTCACGTGCTTTGTAAGAAAAAAAAGCCAAAAAAAAAATCGGACCAAATGCCCAGAGGCTGAGCTCGAAGCCTGGGCTTGCAAGGGGCGTGTCCTCGTAGATTTTTTAAGCGGACAAGGGCGACTTTGCCGCACAAGGCGGGGCAAGAGGTTTGGGGCGGGGGTGGGGGTGGGGAGCTACCCAGCCCACTTGGCAGAGAAAAATGTTTTTTCCTTTCTTAAAAAAAAAAAGTGTGTGCGGGGAAACCCATGGATCTAAAAAAAAACTCACAAAATTATCTTACTAGTTACCCATTTTGTATGGAGGATGCTGCATGAATCTGAACACCAATAAACTGAGATTGTGCATGAGATGTTGCTCCCTCAGCTTCTTCTGTCCATCTGTCCGTCAGCTCCCGCCGCTGCCTCCCTCCCCCACCCATAATCAGCCTCTAGGTGGTCCTAGGTATATCCTACTCTCAGAACTCAGCTTCCCTGCAGCCCCACCCCTTTTCTGAGCCTCAATTTCCTCAACTGGAAAATGGGTATGGTGATAACATGCTCTGCCTGCTTCGTAGAGTTGCAGTGAAGACAGCGCTTTGCAAAGCCTAAAGCGATACAGAAAAGTGTGGGATGACCGGTCGGTTCTCACTCCCCTCTTAAGAGCCTTAAGACATCTAGCGTCTCTGGAAGTCGAACCCGAAAGGGGGGGAGGGCGGGAAAGGAGGAGGCGCAGGGAGAATGATTATGCCTACGCCAAGCAGGTTTCGTGCGGTGCGCACGCGCGGCCTTGGTGGCCATCTTAACTCCTGGCAGACGCCAGACTAGCAAGATTACGGGGTTTTTCCCTCTCATCTTCCGGACCTCGAGTCCTAACTCCAGGCGCATGCGCCTACTATGGCCGGAGTTGGGGGGTGATAGGGGTGTGGGTAAGGGTGCTGCTGCAGGTGTGTATCGGATCTCCTCGCGCTCGGGACAGGAACGCGGGTGGACGTCGCGTGGCAGTGGGGGTTGGTCCCGAGATCGACTTCGCGGGGACCTGTGTGGATGCGCGAGCCACGGTCGCTGGGGCGGAGAGTTGGGAGGGAGGTGGAGTTAACGTGGGAAAAGCAAGCGCGCGCGCGCGCGCATGGACTCTTCTAGCTCACCGGCCCATCCCCCAGTCCTGTCCGTGTCCGACCCCGGGGGGAAAAGGGGGAAAGGCAGGAAGCTACATCTCATCTAGGTGTGTGGCCTTCTCTCCCGAGATGGCTTTATAAACTGGGGGTGGGGACGTGGCTTTTTGTAAAGAGCTACTTTTCCTCTCCCCTACGCTTTGAGATCCCAGGGGAGAGTCCTGAGGCTGAGTGAAGACCGTGGAGGTGGGGGTCGGGGTGGGGGCGGGGAACGGAGAGAGACGAGGGGTGCAGCGAGGCCTTGTGTTGTCAGCCTGGAGATCCCTTTCAAGATTCCCTTGGTGGATCTTACTCTCTTGACTGGGATTGGGAATCCCTATTGTTGACTCACCTCCCCTTGAGGGCAGGCCAGTGCCTGGATGGCCCTCGGCCCCCTGAGCTGTCAGTCATTGTAGGGCTTCCTCCCCTGCAGCTCTAGGGCCCTAGCCCAGGGCCATGGAGTCCTTGGCGGTGACCAATGCAGCGTTGGAGCCCGGGGAAGGGGAGGTGACTTCTGGCCTGGAGGCTCTGGCTGTGGAAGACCCTGCTGGGGCCCCTGCCCGGACTGACCTAGCCCAGGAGGCAAAGGAGGAGGGAAGGGAAAGGGCCAGAGAATTAGTCCAGGTGGAGGTGGAAGCACAGGAGTCCGCCCTTGAAGAGGCACAGGTAGAACCAGCTGGTACATCCGAGGAGGAAGAAGAAGAAGACGAAGAAGATGAAGGAAAAGAAGACTGGTGTGTGCCTTGCAGTGATGAAGAACTAGAGTTACCCCAGGATGGGGAACCCTGGATGCCACCCCCTGCTGAAATTCGAAAACTCTATGAGCTGCTGGCCACCCACGGGACTCTGGAGCTCCAGGCTGAGGTTCTACCCCGAAGGCCTCCCACACCAGAGGTCCAGAGTGAAGAGGAGAAATCAGATGAAGAGCCTGAGGCTGAAGAGGAGGAAGAGGAAAAGTGAGTGAGTGTAGCAACCTCCTGATACATGGCACCAAAGGAGAAGGGATGGGAGGGAAAGGGCTAGATAAGAGTAGGGTATAGGCTTAAGAGGAAGCTATAATAATAGCTGTTATTTATAGCGAACCTGCCATGTGCTTTACAAACATGATCTCATGTGATCCTCAAAACCGGGGGAAAGGAGTAGGTTCTATTATGATCCCCATTTACAGATGAGGAAACTGAGGCAGACAGATTAAGTGACTTGCCCAGGGTCATACAGCTGGTGTCTCAGGCTAGATTTTATCTCAGTTTCCTAACTCCAGGACCAATACTCTATCCACTTCACTTATAAAGCAGGGTAAATGCCAAGGAATAAAGAACAGAGCAGGAGGGAATTGAGGGGCAGAGATGAAAAAGAAATACAGAAAGCAGATTGAGGAAAAAAGCGGAGGGTAACCCCCACCTAGACACTCCCTATCCCATCTGCACCCCTGCACTGGGGTGTTGAACAAAGGAAGGGGCCCAACAACCCTCTCTCTCTTTTGCTGGCCCCCCAGACCTCATGTGCCCACAGAATTTGACTTTGATGATGAGCCCATGACGCCCAAGGATTCTCTGATTGACAGAAGACGTACCCCAGGTACGGAATTGGGGAGCTTGTGTGGAAACAGGAGGGGAGGGGAGCAGGTGGGAGGTTCAGAGGGAGAGAGCATTCTTCCCCCCAAGCCAGCTAGGCGTAGTGCTGCGCCCCCCCCCCGCCCCGCCCGCCACCCCAAGTGCAGCGGAGTTTGTGTAACTTAACTACTCACTCTCCGGAGCCCCTAGCGGTAGCCGGGCAGCTGGGCGCGGGGTCCTCAGTCTTCCCATCCGTGCGCTCCTCCAGGGAGCTCGGCCCGGAGTCAGAAGCGCGAGGCCCGCCTCGACAAGGTTCTGTCCGACATGAAACGGCACAAAAAGCTGGAGGAACAGATCCTCAGGACTGGCCGAGATCTCTTCAGCCTGGACTCGGAAGACCCCTCACCTTCGACCACTCCCGTCCGACCCACTGGAGGAGGGCTTTTCTTGAGGCAGCGGAAATACTGAGAGAACAGGGGCAGCCCTCTGCAGCCCCCAGAGCGCGAGCGCGCCTGGCACGAGGCTGGATGGAGAAGGAGCTAGCGACCGGAGGAGAGCTACGTGGTAGGGGTGGACCATGTTTCGGTGGCTGTTTTTGTAACTGAGTAGTTACATTCTAGGGTTTTTTTATGCCAATCTTTAGTATCCAAATAAAGACTGTGCAGCTGTCCCCCTCGCCACTCCCCTTTATCCCCTGACGACGGAGAAACTCAGTTCAGGCCGCTTTGCAGTTCTCTCCCCTTCCCCCTCCACTGGGGGCGGGGGGGGGGAGGGACTTGGAAAAGTAAGGCCCCAGTATTCCTTGGGAGTTGGGTTCAAGAGACTATCAACCAAAACTTTGGCTCTTCCTCCCAGGCTCCCAAAATTATGGGTTTAGGAAGTGGAGCCCTTTCCATCAGAGGGTCGGGAGTGTCTCGGTGGAGTCAGCTCCTTCTTCCGACCCGTGCTCCGTGAGCCCTTTAAATGCTCCGGTCCCACCCTTCCCCTTCTCTGGGCTGGGACTGCTAGGAAGTCTATAAAAGCAGACCGGGGGAAAGTGGAGGGGGGAAAAGTCCTGCGACTGTCGAGGGATGAAACGTTGGCAACGCCAAAAGCATCTCCTGCCCAGTGGCTCTGAGACCCCTGCGTAAGTGCCCCTCTCCCCTCTTTCCGTAAGGAGTCTGTTAAGGCTGCGTAGGGTGGGGGTGGAAGACCGCTCTATGACCCCTAGCCGGAATCCTGGGGGTGCCCGGGAGACCCGGGAAATGTTCAGAGAGCAGCAGCCTAGAAGGGCGTGGCCCAGGTGAGCTAGCCCTCTTCTCCCTTCCCCACCAGCGGCTGGTTTTCTGAATCTTCCCTTTACGGTGCCTTTCGTGGGTTCGATGCCATGGCTAAGGAAGGCTCTCGGGCGTTGTTGGGGCTTCTCCCTAGCAGCCCTCTAAAGTTCCGGAAAGGGCACTTGGCAGCAACCAGAACAAGTGGGTGTGCTGATGGGAAGAGGTCTTGGGGGTCCACGGAGAAGTGCCAACCTACCGAGTCCGTAAAAATTACCTCCAGATGGGAGTGCCCCTAGCCCCTGTAGTAGAAGAGCATTCTCATCTCTTACCCGGAACTAGGCTTAGCATTCCCTTTCGGTTTAGAGAGCTATTTAGTGCTGTCCCCACCCCGGCCTCTTACGGACTCTTCCGCTTGGTTCCCTGGCACACTAGACCAGATGTCCCTTCTGGGACTGGCCTGACTGAGAGGAACGCAGTCTGTCCAGCAAGCTCCTACCCTTCCCTCTCCTACAAGGGTTCCGACTTTTGAGGTCGGCTTGGCCTCTGCATCCCATTCTGGGAGCTCTGGGACTGTACCAGATTAGACCTCAGGACACTGGGGAGGCTATATATACACCCACAGATTTTAGCAGTCTTTCGAGCTAACTTCCTCATCTTACAACTGGCCTCAGATCAGCCCCTCTGGACCCAAGTCTTTGGAGAAATGAGTGTTTCTGGACCCGCCCTTCTAATCAGGCGCTTCAGCCTGGATTCATTCTGGTATTCATGATAGGCTTGCCAAGAAAAAAGCAGGAAGCAAAATAAATGGCCTGGAAACCAAAAACGACCTTTTGAAATCTCATAACTTGATAACTGGGAGGGACCTTAGAGATTGTCACTTGCCTTTTGCAGATAAGGAAACCTATCTAAGGAAGAGAAAAAACCATGTTCCTGGTTTCAACTCCTAGTCTTTCCCCCAATCCCCTCAATGGGCTTCTCAGGGGGTTTTTCACTGACAAGTCTTAATAGTTAACTCTTACTTATTCTCAAGGAGGTGCAGTGGATAGAGCTGGGGACTTTGAGTTCAAATCTGGCCTCAGACCCTTAATAGCTATGTGATCTGGGGCAAATCACTTTACCTCTCTCAGGTTCAGTTAATTGCATCTTCTTTACGGGGTTGTTGTTAGCTATTATATATTAACTATAATAGCTATTACTAGTTATAATTTTTTGTTGGTTAGGCCAAATGGAAATACCTGCCCCCAAAATAAAAGCATATTGACATAAATGCTACCAGCATTCAACAGATATACCCAAAGTATCTATTATAGATACAAAGGCGAGAAAAATAAGAGTTTATAACATGTAATACCTTTCAAAGGAAAGTAATAAACAAGGTGCTGTTGCACTCTAGGGGTGCTGGGAGCCCT